GGTCCAGAGAAGAGCAACGAGAATGATTAAAGGTCTAGAGAACATGAGCTATGAGGGAAAGCTGAAGGAATTGGGTTTGTTTAGTTTAGAAAAGAGAAAATTGAGGGGGGGGGACATGATAGCAGTTTTCAGGTATCTAAAAGGGTGTCATAAGGAAGAGGGAGAAAACTTGTTCATCTTGGCCTCTGAGGATAGAATGAGAAGCAATGGGCTTAAACTGCAGCAATGGAGGTTTAGGTTGGACATTAGGAAAAAGTTCCTAACTGTCAGGTGGTCAAACACTGGAATGCAATGAGAAAGTGATTGGTAGGCAGTAAAAGGTTATTTAAATGCATAGAAATTGCCTTGTCTGAGTTACAAGGGGCCTCATAGATAAAATCAACCTTGCTTAATGAATCTCCAAAACTCACAAGAGTACCTACTCAAGGGGTATGTCTACACTACCCTCCTAGTTCGAACTAGGAGGGTAATGTAGGCATACCGCAATTGCAGATGAAGCCCGGGATTTGAATTTCCCTGGCTTCATTTGCATAAACCGGGCGCCGCCATTTTTAAATCTCAGAATGAGGAGTAACGGCCGCCATTTTTAAATCTCGTGGAATGAGGAGTAACGGTAGTTCGAACTAGGAAGCCTAGTTCGAAGTACCTAGTTCGTGCTGCGTGTAGCCGCGCGGCACGGGGTTCGAACCAGCCGGGATTTAAAAATGGCGGCACCCGGCTTATGCAAATGAAGCCCGGGAAATTCAAATCCTGGGCTTCATTTGCAATTGCGGTATGCCTACATTACCCCGCTAGTTCGAACTAGTGGGGTAGTGTAGACATACCCTGATTCTTCTTAACCCATGGGTGTTTTATTATTTCTTTGAGAGGGAGCCTCAAAGAAGGGATTTGTTTAAGTATTTTTGAAATAAGGTCCTTAGCATCATCGGGCATCCATGTGGGAAATGTGAACTTGACTTGAAATTAAAACAACAACCAACAACAACAACAAAAAACTATTATTTGTACAAGGTAACAGCAATTATTATATTATTCCTTGTACTTACATCATATCACCTAGGAGCCTCAGTCATGGACTAGATTCCCAATGCACCATATGCTGTAGAAACAATGAAGTGTGAGGAGAGCGATGGGGAGACAGTCTTTGCTGCAGAAAGTTTGCAACCTATAAGACACAGATGCAGAATACTGTACTGGTGAGCACAATAGGCTGTGGTATCGGCACACCAGCCAACTATCAATTGTCAAGATTTTTGTAATCTTCACAGCTGGTAATAGTATTACCAGTCAAGTAATTCTACAACAGTAAATTAGTGTATTCAAAAGAGACTATGCAAAGGGAAAATAGCTACTGACAGTAATTAGGTTTTGAAATTCGTGTGAGGGTGATAGTGTACAAGTTAGGGATGTAAAAATGTGGTTAAAAATGTAACCACTAAAAATCATAGCAGTTACATGGGATGAAGGCTCTACCATATAAGGCTTAAATAAGCTTTATACTGCAGAGCCGTCAGCGAAGCCTCCCTGAGAGCAGAGTCAGGGCTGCTGCCAGCCCTCCTCCAGGGGAGGAGGCTTTGCTGTGGCAGCAAACCAGCCACCCTGGGAGCAGGGCCAGCAAGAGCTGCCAGCACTGCTGTTGGAGAAGCTTTGCTGTGGGCTCTGCAGCCAGCATGTAACCTAGGGGGAAGGGGGAAACGGGGTGGCTAGGCCTTGCCAGGGAGGATAGGGAGCTGTTCCAGCCCCTACTGCAGGGGTGGGGAATCTTTTTTGGGGGCAGGGGCTACTGACCCACCAAAAAAAAAATCTGTTGGGGGCTGCACAAAATGTGAGAAGCAAACAAAACAAACAAACAAACAACCCCCCCCCAACTCCCTCACTGACATGGCCCCTGACCGAGAAGCAGAAAGACTCTCCACATTACCCTCACACACCAGACCCTAGGAGGCCCAGGCTAATAGATTTTGTGGGTCCCCCTTAGGCTCTGGGGTGGGGCAAAACTTGGAGTATGGAGTGGGTGGGAGGTAGGGTACAAGAGCAGGCTGGGAGTGAGAGATCTGGGGGTGGGAGGAAGAAGGGATGTGGGAGTGGAATGGGGTGCTGGGTCTGGGTGATGGGGAGGCGCTCTTACCTGGCAAAGCTTCCCAGGGACACACATGGCTCCATGTCCCCCTCTGCTTCCAGGCACTGCCCCCTGCTGCTCCTATTGGCCAAGATTATGGGCAGAGAAGCAGGTGAATAGCCTCCAGGCATCATCTTTGCTTTGACAGCTGGGGGGAGACAGGGAGCGGCAGTGCCTGGAGCTACTTCTTCCCCCCACCAGGCAGAGCCCATGGGTCAGAGCATCTTTGCTTTGACAGCTGGGGGGGACAGGGAGTGGCAGTGCCTGGAGCTACTTCTTCCTCCCACCAGGCAGAGCCCATGGGTCAGATAAGGCCCTGGTTTGCCTGATTCCGGGTCTGCCAGGCTCGAGGCTCTGGTCCCTGCAGCAGGGAGCCAGCGCTGATGCTCCAGCCCCTCAGGGGTTGTGGAGCTGGAGCACCAGCATAGTCTTCTAAATGGTGGGGGAGTGGGGAGAGCCCCAAGATCAGGGGCCAGATCCAGACAAGCTGGAGGAGGGGGGTCACACCTGGCCCCCAGGCCTTGTTTTCCCCACTCCTGCCCTGCTGGTTAACCAGTTAACCTTTTATATCCCTAGTATAAATGGGTTGATGATGATTATACCTAAATTCCAATCTAAAGTAAGATTACTTGTTATAAGGTAATTCTGGACAGCACATCTCCTATTCCAGATCATTGTCAATGTAGCCACTGAATAGACCTAGTCACAATAAGTTTATCTTATACACTGTTTAATCTGAGTAATGTGCAAAATAAAATCAGTATTTGTTAGATGATGCACTTCCCATTATTTACAATACAGCGTGCACATTAGAGTCAGAGTCAAGGATGCTAGTGGATAGCATTCACTAGAATAAATTGGTTGGCTGCTCTGAATTTTAAAGAGACATTTTGTACTGAGCAATGTAGAAGACAGCTAGAATTAATGAAGGAGAATAACCTTCATTGAATAAGGCCACTATTAGAACCAACTACATTTTGTATGTATATCCCTAGTCTTCCATATATTTATATACTTTTATCTACATTTGTTCATCTCCTCCACCATGCCAATTTTGCAGATGCATACAAGAAAAAACATACAGCCTCAGTGTTGCTCCCTTTTAAATCAGTGGCTAAACTCCAGTAGCTATGAATAGGTACAAGACAAGATTCAAATCTATATCCAAGATGGCCCACTATTTCTAATTAGGTTGTGTACATTTTGTCACCATTTTTTCACCCCATGCTCCATAGAAAAAGGAGCAACTGCCTGAAACACACCCAACACTAAGATAGATTTAACAATTTTTGTAATATGGAGTGCCAGTTGAAGTATCACAGTATGTCTGTGCTATTTTTAGTAACTAAAGCAATTGATCAGTGCTTCAGTAAAAGGGAGAAACTTAAATCCTCAGAGTCCTTGAATAGTAATGTAAGAATGAGTCCAAATGTCTCCAACTCTGTTCAACTACAGATTTTGAAGAGGGGAAATGGTAAGGACACAAAAATGTAACCAGGATTTTTTTTGTAATAAACAACAATGTTATTTTGACTTTGTTCTTAAGATTTTAACTGAGAGTCAGTGCTCCTAATGAATACTGAGATGGTATCAAACAAGATGATATCAAATAGATACGTAGTTCTCTGTAATGCAGCCTGACAGTGCTTTAAGCAGTCACATTTGATGCCAGCAAAATCAAAACCCAAGCAGTGTCTGATCGTAAGTAAGGGTATGTCTACACTACAAAGTTAATTCAAACTAACAGACGTTAGTTCGAATTAACTTTGATAGGCGCTACACAGGACAACCGCTAGTTTGAACTTAATTCGAACTAGCGGAGCACTTAATTCGAACTAGGTAAACCTCATTCTACGAGGACTAACGCCTAGTTCGAATTAAGTAGTTCGAATTAAGGGCTGTGTAGCCACTTAATTCGAACTAGTGGGAGGCTAGTCCTCCCCAGCTTTCCCTGGTGGCCACTCTGG